CTGATGCTGAATTCTAGGAAGGTTAAAATATCAATTTGCTTCCTCAACTTTCAGGTTTTTACCAACTACGTCTTTAAACTTTAAAAACACCAAAATTATCCTTTAACATCATTTTACAGTGTCATTCCATTTCCGTCCTTTTATATGAAGATAAATTTTATACAACCTTTCTATATTTACATTACGTAGAAATTCAAAAAGGTTATGGGGAAAACTTTCTCCGTGGCATTTACAGATAATACTTATTCTCGTCTGATATATTAAAGTAATAAGTTTTTCTAATCTATATCATAAAAACACACATTAAAAGTTTAAAAAAAATAAATATTAATATTTAATTTATTATATTTTAATTAAACTTATTTAAATAGTAATAATTTTAAAATTAATGTTAATTTTTATATTTTTTATATATTTATAATAAAAAAATACTCTTAACTTATATTTTAAGTATATAAATTAAAAAAATCGTAAAGTAATTCATTTAGAACGTTAAATCATTATGTTTAACTCTAATCAAATTAAAACTAAAGAAACAATTACAATTAAAAGCTTAATTGTTACTAATAATTGTGACTTTGGTCTGTTTTAAATTAAAAAAATAAATTTTAACTTTTTAATTTAAAATAAATTAATAAAATATTATCACATCATATTTATAATTAAAATAAAAATTAATCTTTTAAAATAAAAAATAATAATTACTACTCAATCGTTATACTTTATTCTTTGCCACGGATAAATCGAAAATAAAAAAGAGAAAACAATCCAGTGCAACTTGTCTCCTTCGACACAGAAACAGAACTCTTCATCTCTGGTTATGAACCCTTCGCCTCCAACTACAGTTTTCTGCGTTTGTACTAAAACTAAAGATGATGCTGACAAAAATCTTATACTTTCCACAGAAAAATCTCATCATCAAACCTAAGTTTATGTACAGAAATTTTCTACAAATCAAACCCAGAAACAACCCACAATAATGATTATAGAAAAAAGAAAAAAGCTAGATTCTTATTATAGCAAAAAAAAAAAAAAAACCCAGATTCATGTGCCACCAGATAAATCGAAAAACCTCATTAATATAAAAAATAAAAATTCAAAATTCTTGATCAAATCTTGGCCCCAGGTTTTAGAATTTAATTCATCACCGGTTCAAGATTTTTGGTCTCTTTCATGTCGTCAATTAACAAATCTTTTCTTAGCTATCGTGGCAGCTTCATCAATCTCTCCAACAAATTGTCCCGCTTAGGAACCCCAATGGCAGCCACAAGGGATTCAAGATTCTAACCAAGGAAGAAACAGTGTTTGATCCCGAGCCTCGACTGGATTTTGATCTTGAATTGAAACCCAGCTTACTTGTGCCTCAAGCTCTTCTCTTCAATGAAGATTAGTCCCGGCTTCCTCCTCTGATTTCTGAAAATCTCTAGACAAATTGTGCAGAGGAGGAACCACGCTACAAAGCCTTTCATTTCTCGGTCCAGCAGTCAGAGGCCGTTCTGAGGCCTTGTCTCCATTGAAAGAAGGGGTGATCCAGACGGGATGACAGCACTTTTCATTTCTCTATGCGATTCTTCTGTGATGAAGATGATAAAGGTCCTAGGAACTTGGTGAGGTTGAATGGAGAGCAAATGTGAGGAGAGAAATAGAAAACAATTAGCCGGAGGCTTAGGGAAGATGGCGAAAAACAGCTTCAAAATACCATTTTGGTCCTCAACTTTTTAGATTAGTACTAAAATTATCCTTAAACTTCAAAAAACTACTAAAATTATTCCCAAACTTTCATTTGCTGTACCAATTTCGTTCTTTTGTTAGTTAGGTGCTGACATGGTAAGTTTTTTCGTTAAGTAATTCAGTTTTTTTTTTAATATTTAATATTATATAAACATTAAGAGGGTGATTTGGGGTGAGGTTAATCGACGCCTTAAATTGTTAATGTTACATGTTTTTAATATAATTATTTATTATATTTTTATATTTTATTTTATTTCAAAAATTTATATTTTTTATTATTTTAACAAATTAAAGAGTATAATAATAATTAAAATAAAAAATAAAATATTAATATTTAATAATATGACAATAACATTTGTCAGGTGATTTGGTATTTTTAATTAGCCAAACCCCCTATTTGCATTCTTCATTTATTTTATTTTCATGATCAACACCTTACAATATTTTTTCTCCTTATTCACACCCTCCACTTTTTCAAATCCATCAAAAACTAATATTTTAACCGGTTGTAATGGAAACATTAATAACTGTTAAAAATTGTAATATGTGACACCAAACAATAACATGAAAATTATGTCACCTTATTAATTCAATCTGGACTTTTTTTTTCAATGATGTGACATAATTAAATCATAATTAATTTTAATTTCTTCATTTTCTTGTTTCCCGGCATATCTTTACCATCTTCTTCCTCATCCTCCTGGGTTCCTCATGGAACCAGGAACCCAAGACGTTATGTCACATTTATTAAACCAATGTGGACTTTTTTTTTTTATAATGTGTTATAATTAAATCATAATTAATTTTAATTTCTTTATTTTCTTCTTTCTCGACATCATCTTCACCATCCTCGTCCTCATCTTCCTGGGTTCCTCGCAGAACTCAGGTTCTGAGTTCCTTGTGGAACCTAGTTTCACTTGAATGCCTACCAAGTTAAGATCTTCATCCACATAATTATAAGTAAATGAATACTGCACAAAAACAGGATATGCATCTTCCACCCCTTTCCCACAAAAAAACGAAAAACCCGTTATTGCCATTCATGTTAATCCCACTTGAACTCAAATTAGCAACATGTTCAGAAACAATCTCCAAGCAAAAAAAACTCACCTTTCCAACAAAAAAATTATTCCAATATGCTTTGCATAAAATAGGAAACTACGATAAATACATTCAAATAAAAAAATGAAAAAAAAGGGGTCAAAACCCAAAATCTAGGTTCCGCACGAGGAACCCATTGAGAAGAGGAGAAGAGGGTGGTGAAGATGGAGGATGGTGAAGATGATGCCGAGGATGAGGGGGAAAGAAAAAGATGAACAAATGCCACGTCATAAAAAAAAAGTCCACATTGGATTAATAAGGTGATATAACATTCATATTATTGTTTGGTGCCTCATATTACAATTTTTAACGGTTATTAACATTTCCGTTATGGCCAGTTAAAATATTGGGTTTTTTACCAAAAATTATTAAGGATGCATTAAAAAGAGTAGATAAGCTTATAATTCTAGAGAGAAAATTTTACCTTGTTGATGTTGGGTTTATGTTAAAAAGTGGCCTTATAACTCCTTATAGAGGACTTCGTTACCATCTCAAAGAATACTCAAATAATCCTCTTAAAAATGCTAAAGAATTATTTAATTTTAGGCATGCATCCCTACATAATGCTATTAAAAGAGCATTTGGTGTTTTGAAAAAAAGATTTGAGATTTTGAGAGGCAGAACCGAACAATTTTATGGAGTGGAAACTCAAAATTTAATTATTTTAGCTTGCTCCATTATTCACAATTTTTTAATGGGTGTGGATCCTAATGAAGACCTTATAGTTGAGGTAGATATGGAATTGAGAAATCAAGATAATTCCCAACAAGCTTGTACTTCCAAAGAGGAAGAACAAGATGCCACTAGGGGGAAATATTCAGAGATGTCATTGCTGTTGATATGTGGCACAATTACAAAAATTGCTAGTGTACTTAATGGCTTTTTAGATTTTTCTTTTTGTAATTTTTTTTGGTTCTTTTGACTTAGTTAATTTCTTTGTTCTTGAATTGTTTACTTTTTTTTTTAATGTTATAATTAATAAATTTTTACTTAATAAAGTTATCTAATAACTTTTTTTATTTAGGTATGGGTGGGAAGAAAAAAAAATAATATTGAAAATGCAAGTGAAGAAGGCAAATGGATGAGGCTCTTATGGATGCTTTCCTACATCAACATAATTTGGGCAATAGGGTAAATGGTTCCTTCACCACCAAAGCATATGAAAATATTGTTAATGAATTGCAAGAAAAACTTAGGAAGGATGTTGAGAAAGATAAGGTTAAAAATCGCATCAAAACATTGAAGGCAAACCTCTCAAAATCTCATGATTTATTCAAAAACCTTAGTGATTTTTCATGGAGCCCTATTACAAAGCTATGAGGTGCTGAACTTGAAGTTTGGGATGCATTAATAAAGGTACAATTTTAATTTAAATTCCTTTACTAAAACTTTTCTTCCTTTTCTAATATTTTTCTTGACCTAAATTAATTATTTAGATTTAAAAATGTTGATGTTTTGTAGGTTAATAAGGATGCTAAAGAGTGGATGACAAAACCAGTGTTGCACTATGACACATTTGTGATACTATTTGAAAATGATCGAGTTACAGGTGAAAAGTCAAAGATTGCAAAAGAATTAAAGAAAAAGCAATCATCCCAACATGATAATGAGTCTCACAATACCATTGAGGAAATTGATCATATGGTGTCACAGAATCAGGTATCTTTGGATGGTTTTGGTACTAATGAT